CTGAGGGCTGAGAACCACAGAGCCGCGCCCCCATTTTCCAGGTTGGGGACCTGGCCCAGAGAGAGAGCTCCACCCAGGTGACTGTTGGCCCCCGACTTAGAGACCTTCGTCTGAGAGCACACCAGCCAGTTGCACCTTCTCTGGTGTGGAGGACGGTGACCCATGGGCAGGCAGGGGTGGGGGGAAATCTAGCCTCTACTGTAGACAGAAATGAAGGGAAACTGAGCCCCTGTCACCACTTGTGTGCCTCATGTTTCAAGATGATCGTCTCTGAGCATTTTGCCGCCTGGAAGCTAGAAGCTGCTTAGAGTTTTCTTCAGGAAGGGAAATGCTTGAACCCTCACCTACCCCTTTGCTCTTGACAAATATTTGTCCACCGGGGTCCTGAGGTCAGGATGGGGTGGGCTGTTCCCTGCCCAGGAGGCCTTATCTCCTTGGGTGTGGGTGCAGCGTCTGCTCTGTTCTCTGCACACTGAGTAGGGGGAGGGTGACAGGCGCTGGCTGTGTCCGTGATTCCCGCCGAATAGCAGCTTTGCACTGAGCGGGGCCTGGAGGCCTCCACACTGGCCCAGCGATGAGTTCTGTCTCAGGCTCATCCTCCCTCGAGCCCCATTTCCTGCCACTCCTTGTCCCCCACCTGGTGTGTGGCTTCCTGGCCTTCTGAAGCCCTCAGGGGTGCTCCAGCATCCTCTGGACTCGTGTGTACTCTTTCCTCCCCCTGGAGAGCTGCTTCGTGAACCTGTGGCCAGGTGAGCCAGTTACATCCATCTCTCCCTTCAAGACTCGATGGGGCCCTGCCCCACCCAGGCCTGGTAGGCCCACTCGGACGGGGCATCATCCTGCATTGTAACAGGCTGCCTCTGTGTCTGTCTTCACTGGGCTGTGGGCCTCCTGGGTGAGCAGTGTCCCACCCCAGTTGTTGGATGGTGCTGGGCACAGTGCCAGCAGCTTCACACTCACCTCCATGGTTTCAGCCAGTTTGCACCAGCCCACAGTGTGGGGAGACAGCTGCAAAATGCCGTTACAGACGAGGAAGCCGAGGCCCAAGAGGCCGAGTCACCTGCTCCAGCTCCTCCAGCACATGTGGGGAGAGCCCCTCTCCAGGGCTCACGTATGCTTCCGCCCGTGCAGACGCTGCGTGGTGCAGGTGCTCCGGGAGCTGGCATGTGGCGGGAGGAGCGGGACCTTCACACCTGCACAGCTGTTCCAGCTGTGACCCCTTCCAGCATCCGCACTGGAGCTGTCACAGCATCCGTGTCTGTGTCCAGGGCGCTGCTCCCAGACGTCCAGCTGGAATAGACCCTCTGTTCTCAGCCTCGTCTCTTTTCCTTGCTCCACCCGTCCTCTCTCAGGGGTGTTCTGCACCCACCTCAGCCCCCTCCCAGATGGTCCCCTGTGCAGGTTGCCCTGCATTTGTCCCCTGGGCACCTGCAGGGAAGGGCTGTGAGGGGTACAGGGCAGGCCCACTGCCCATCTCCTGGGAGCAAAACCCCCAGGGTTTAATCATTTCCTCTGTGTGAGGACATTCCCTTCACATGACGTGTCACTTAGAATATGTTTCTGGAACAGACGGGGCCTGGTGGCATGTGTCCTATGAGAACATCCCTGGGAACCAGAGGCTCCTCAGCTCTTCCCAGTTGGAGGCTCCAAAGAGCTGAGCCACATTCACTCAGTGTCCCCACATGGTGGGTCAGAATGGCCGGTGGGCTGTGCTGTGATGGTGGAGATATTTCCTACGAGTCCATTCGAGAGAGAATGTCTCACCTTGAAAGATGTTATGCTAAATGAAAGAAGCTCGTCACAAAAGTCCACCTTTTATATATGATTCAACTCGTGAGAGTTCAGAATAGGGGAATCAATAGAGACTAGAAGTGGGTCAGTGGTCGCTTAGGGATGGGAGGGGTGGAGGGAGCCGTAGTGAAAGGGCACAGGGTTTCTTCGAGGGGATGAAAATGTGCTAAATTGGCTGTGGAGATGATGGCTGCACATGTCTGTGATCATCCTAAACCATGAATTGTCACTTTACATGGGTGAGCTGTGTAGTGTGTGAATTCTCTCTCGTTAAAGCTGTCTAAAAGAGAGAGAACTTCTCCCCGCCATCTTACTATGAAACTCAGTGCTACAGAGAAACCATCTAAAGAAAAAGTCAGCATGATTTTTAAAGGCCCTTTGCAAGGTGGTGCACCCAGAGGCGGGACAGGGTCCTGAGGTCCCAGGGGGCAGGGCTGGGATGGGGCACAGGCTGGACTTTGCTCCTGTGGACGGGATTCTTCCCAGAGACCCCGGGGATCTGCATAAGGGTGTGAGTGTGTATGAGCGTGTGTGTGTGTGTGAGTGTGTGTGACAGGGAGCATTCCTAGGGAGCTGGAACACAGTCTTCCTCACACTGGTGGAAGCACACACCCAAAGCAGGTGGAGAGTCGGGGTAACCTCGAAGCTTCCCTCTGCACTGGGGGCCGGAAGTTCAGCCCAGAGCTGCGGCCCCATCTCGCTGGTGCTCACTCATGACTCTGTGACGAGCACTCAGTGTGGGGACTGCGCTGCGCTCTGACTTCCGCTCACTCTTTCTGCCTTTGATTCCTGACCGAGCCACACGGGGAGGAATAGAGCTGAATGAGGTGCAGGGCACTGAGCCTGAGACCAGGGTCTGAGAGCTGCCTTCTCAGATTGTGCCACTTCCGGGTACCCCTGTGCCTTAATTTACCTCCTATGCATTTTACAGTTAATTTTTCCAGAATAACTATATCACTCCCTTAAGAATAAAAGCCATGCCCTTCTCCAGGTCACCTCTGCCTGCCCGTCCTCAGAGCTCATGCTCTGGGGGAGCTCCAGACCCCTGGCTGCGCCCTGATCCCTTCTCCTTGCCTTAGTCAGAAAACTGAGAAGAGTGACAAAGAGAACCGTTTTCTCCACGTGGCATTCAGTGTCCCTCAATGCCATGTCCACTGGCCACCGACAGGCACCATGTGCCAGCTGGGTCCCACGTGGGATTCCATCACGGAGGGCTCTCCCCTCCACGTGCAGCGCCAGCTGCTCCTCTGGGATTTGGTCTATCAGCCGCTTGTTTAGGCACACCCATCTACCAGGAGGCCCTGAAGGCCAGGGAACTAACTCGGACACTGACACATGGCTGGACGGGTCTTCCCTGTGTCCCACACCCAAGAGTCAGCCCTGAGCAAGGGGGACCTCACCCCCTCCCTCACCTGGTCAGGGACAGCGCCACTTTGTGACTAACCAGAGGCACCTGTCTTGTGCTGGATGCTGCCAAGGGGCAGAGCAGGGCTCCCTGAGAGCTCGTGAATGGGGACCTGACTTAGATTGGTCCTCTTTGGTTGGTCACCCGTTGACCAGGCACAGGATGCCTAGGAGAAGCGTGTCCCAGGCCCTTGCCTCTGCCCACGGGATGGACATGCCCGCTCCTCCCTCTTCTCCATGCCACACTCTCTTGCCTCCTAAATCCAAGTCCATCTCAGCCGTCAGCTCATGTGCCTGTGTCAGTGCCTGTGATGGAAAAGGCCAAGTGACCTGTTTGATCTTAAAGGCAAGTGTGGATGGGATCGACACACACGTCTCATCTTTGGCAGTCTGATCATCTGGATTGAAGTGATTTTGTTCCAATTAGCTATAAATTGTAACGTGTGTCCCACTCGCTCTGTCACATGCCTTCCTTCAGGCCATCTCAGGTTCATCAGCAGAGGAAGTCTTCTGGGCAGAGATGCCCAGATCTGATTCATTAAGCCCAACTTGGTTTTGATAACTCCAGATACTTCATTGCACAGATTTTCCTACCAACTGTGATTTTCTCCCGATGCTTCTCAGCTGAGAGTCTTGGAGAACCCCTGTGAGGACAGTGGTGTCTCTTACCAAGCAGGTGGGCAGTGGGACAGGGAGATGAGGTCAAGGTGCCACTTGAGTTCACACCACAGGGGACATAGGCCTAGGAAGCAGCCCATCCTCAGCCCCCATTTCTCAGGAGGATGGTGCAAGGGTCACAGTACCTTGGAACCTCTGACTGCAAAGCCATCTCCCGCCATGTCCTAGCCCACGCCCAGCGCAGTCCTTATATTGGTGGGGATGGTAAATGACACTGAGCTGATGTCATTGGGAGGGACAAGCAGAAGGGAAGACAAGTACAGAGAGTCCCAGCTTGGGGTGAGCTTGTCCACAGGGGGAGCGGGACTGTGGCACTGAGGGGTGTTGTGACCCCCACATCTGTCCCTACGCTCCTCTTTGATTGGGGCTCACTGACCCTGCAAACATCACCTGGGGTGGAATCTGGGTGATGGTGAGGGAGTGCTGTTGTCATGCCATCCTTGGCCACCCGAGGAGACCTGGCTGACCTGGGTCCTTCCTACAGCCCAACTCCAGCCCAACTTCTGGGACTTGGAGATTTAAAGGGTGAATTCCTTTAAAAAAAAGCTAGTGACATAGCATGACTAATTTATTTTGCCAATGAAGACCAAAAGAATCTTCTGGTCACTACCATTTTATAACAGAAAGGATATTTTTATATCAAAAATACGAGGAAGGATATAATCACAGAATTAGCCCATCTAATGATAATATTGAATGGTATAAATCCTTTCTTCAGATGATGAATTACTTAACTTCCACTTTCCTCAGTTTACCCATCTGACAAATGGGTCACTATGTTGCTCGTAGGGTTGTGTGATGACTAACTGACTTAGTATTTGTAAGGTGCTAGGACAGTGTCTGGCATATAAATGTGACATAAGTGTTCATTAAATAAAAAATAAAAAAGCGTATTTAAATAGTGAATGAAGGCAAGGAAGCAGAGGATTGGGAAAGACTGAGATTGGAGATCAGGCTAGAGCCTTGGGGCTGAAAGAGTCATTCTTGGTGAGGAAAATGCCCCCCGCTGTTCTCTACCTCCTTGCTGTTTTTCTGCCCCTCGTGCCCCAGCGTGACCTCTGGTCTGGCCCTTCCTGGGCGTGGGCTCTCCTGGCCCGATGCTCACCCTGCCCCCCTTCCCTCTGCAGGTCTTTGGGGGCCTCGTGTGGATCCTGATCGCCTCGTCCCTGGTGCCCCTCCCCCTGCTCCAGGGCTGGGTGATGTTCGTGTCTGTGTTCTGCTTCGTGGGCACCACTGTCCTGCTCTTCCTGTACCTAATTGGTGCCCATGGTGGTGAGACTTCCTGGGTCTCCCTGGTGAGTCCCAGCTCTGGGTGTTTGGGTGGGGTGGGTAGGACCGTCTCCCCTGGGAGGCTGGCTTTTCCAGTGCTGGGTGAGGCTGCCCTCTAGCCATCTCCCACCCATGTTCCAAGGCTGAGCTGGCTGGGCCTCAGCTCTGAGCTGTGCACAGCAGCCCAGGGCTCCCTGCAGCCAGGAGGGCAGGAGAAGGGGACGGCAGAGGTTGACTGTCACCGTCTGCTCTGCTTGCTCCTGTGTGACTGCCTCCCATCCTGTCTCCTCTCCAGGGGCTCGTTGGCATCTCCCATCGTCCAGGAGGTCTGGTTTCCATCTCCTGGGAGCAGGGTCCTGGGGTCTGGCCTGGGCTGCCCAGTATGAGGCCACGCTTACCGCCCAGCTCCATGTCACAGGCTTCTAAACCTGGGTCACCAGAGAGGGACTTGGTGGGGGAGAGAGATGGCCTGTGGTCTCTGTTCTGCATAAAATCTTCCTTGAGGCCCACCAAGAGGGCAAAACTTACACATGGACCCTTGCCCCTTATGTCCCCTGGAAGGGGTGGGGCAATTTGGCCCGGCCTCTCATTCTCAAAAGGTCTCCTACTTACACTTGAGAAACCACCTCCAATTATAGCTCAAATTACTCAGAACCCCAGTCTAGTGCTTTTTCACTTGTAAACACACCTGGAGCCCCCTGCCTCCCCGTCTCTCCCCTGCACTGGTCACTGAGGCCACATCAGAACCAGGACTGTGACCATGTATGACATTTGTCAAGTCCAGAACCAACTTCTACCTATTCAGTCCCAAGCTGCCCCCCTCACTTGATCCTTCTCAAGGGAGAGCAGCGTCCCTTCTCCACTGAAGTCCTTCCTCTGCCCCCAAACCAGCGAGATGAAACTCAGCTGGACCAACGACCTCTGTGAGGTGGGGGTTAGAGGGTGTGGTGATGGTGAATGGGGTGGGGGGAGTCAAAGGAAGTAGCAGAAGATGACCAAGGGACCTGAGCCATGCCAGGTGGGGACAGGTGGGGTGGACAGGGCCCTGCTGGGACCACAGCTGCCCCACATACCCATGTCTGGGATCCCATCTTTCTGACGGCCCTTTCTGACCCTGCAGGATGCAGTCTACCACAGTATTACTGCCCTGCTGTACCTCAGCGCCGCTGTCCTGGAAGCTTTGGCCACCATTTTAATGCAAAATGGCTTTATATACAAATATTACCATGAAAACATCGCTGCTTCGGTGAGTCCCCCGTCAACCCGCCATGGTCACAGCTCCCACCGCCCGCTGACGGGGTCTGAGCGGAAGGCTGCCCGAGCCCTCCCCTCTGTTTTTAGTTCACCGACTTTTGAATGAAATAGACCTTCCCCTCGTCATGAAGACACAAAGTCATGGGGAAGGGAGGGACGTGCCCAAGACTCCCTTCGTCCCCTGGTCAGGGCTGTGCTGTCCAGGCATGGGCTGGCCCAGGGTCTAGTCCTGCGTGGGCTTTGTGGAGGGCAGGTGTGTAAGGATGTGACTGCTGATGCCCGGCACCATCCGAGCTCTCCGTGAACCATCGTATTGAGCCCTCACAGCAGCCCTGGGGTGTGGGCGCTGTGTCATCCCCATTTCACAGATGGAGAACCAGGGCACCACGAGCAGGATAACATGCTCCAAGGTCCCCGGGAATGGGTGGGGCTGGTGTCAGGCCAGGTGCCCTGTGAGCACCGTCAGCACCAGCTTGGAGCAGTGAGTCTGGCCCCTGGGTGTCCTGGCCCCCTGAGCGGTCTTCCATGGAAGCACAGTCAGGGGCGCGAGACTGAGGCCTGGGGTGAAAATCGAGTGGCGGGGGTTTCCCCAGGCCCTGGCTCTGGGCTGGGCTGTGGGGAGGCCCTTCTGGTCAGAGCACATACAGACCCCCGCTGTGGGTGTTTGCCGTGTGATCAGGCCTTGGCTCCTCGTGACGGTGTCTCCTGCCCCACAGCTCTGAGCACCTGTGGTAGGAGGAGAGGCCGGAGGTCACGTCTCCACCAGTCCCCGTGCACGTCCCCTGTGCTCCCTGAGCCTCAGCCTGCTCCTCTGTGAAATGGGACGGTGATTCCTGGCCCTTCCCCTCGAGGACTGTGGCTATTGAACAGCTCCCTGCCGAGGCTTCACAGGAGCCCTGGGGGAACAGGGCTTGAGCCTCCTTCACCCCGTCAGCAGAACAAACACGGGTCCCGACTGTGTGTGACCGGGGGCACGGTGTGTGCAGGTCTCTGAGCTCTAAAAGGAACGTTCTCCACTGTGGGCCAGACCCACTGGTGGGGGAGGTCATGACATGGATTTCCTTTTCAATGGAATGAGTTTGAATGACAGGAATAGGAGAATGTATGGTTTCATAAACTTTTTTCCAGAGCTGTGCATGGTGGGCTTGCACACGTGTGCTAACTCACCATATCAGATGTATTTCTAGCCAAGGGTATTGTTTAAAAAATAAGAGAAAATTTCAGAAATAGCACTCCTCAGATTTCTAGAGGTCAACCTATGAATAAAGGAAATTCCGAGGTCAAATGTAATGACAGATCACAGGATGTCACCTCCAGGAGCCAAAGCTGTGCTGTCCCCACATTTTGGGGAGGACAGAGCAGAGGCTGAGAGAATCCCACAGGGTAGGCACTGTTGGTCTCTGGGAGAAGGTTCTTCAAAGCCATGTCTGCTGTCCTGTACCCTGTCCCCTGCCCTGGGGAGGCCACATGCTCCTCTTAAGCTCTCAGCCTACTTCCCAGGTCCATCAACATGGCCACCTCCTGGTCCCTGCACCCCTCCAATGTCCCACAGTGTAAGAATGTCTCCCATTTTGGCTCATCTTCCAAGATGGCTGGTTTCTAAACAGTAGCACAGCCAGGCAGCCCCTAGGATGCTCTTCCTTCCCCTGGGAGGCTGGTCATCCACCTCCTCCGTCATCCTTCAAATGACTCTGTTTCATCTCCCCCTCATATAGAGATCCTTGTACCTCCCCCCATCCCAACCCCAGAAGCCTTCTCTCCGCCAGACATCAATAAGGCTTTTGACAACAACTTCCGTAAAGTTATTGCAGACAACAGTAATGACATGTAGATGGAACGTGGCTAGTGGGTCAGCACTTGACAGAACAACCCAAATGGGGTGGATTAATGCCTTTGCCTACTGGACAGATCTCTAGCTGAGAACCACTGGGCTATACCATTTTCCAACTTCTCTTTTACTTTTTATCAAAATGCAACACACATCCAGAGAAGTGAGCAGGATGCAAGTGCACAGCTTGATGAGTTTCCATAAAGTCAACCCCTCTGTGTAACAAGCATGCAGATTAAGAAATAGAGCATCATAAACAGCTCCCAGAGACCTCCTTCCTGTCCTGCCGCCGTCACTGTGCACCCACACCAAGGATGACCACGGGCCTGATTCCTAGCTGCCTAGCTCAATTTTTCCTGATTTTCAACTTCATGTGAATGGAGTTGCACAGTGTGTCTTTTCTCTCTGGCTTCTTTCTCTCCACCTTAGGTTTGTGAGGCTCGTCTCACTGTTGGGTGGAGATGCAGACTGTTTCTTCTCATTGCTGTAGAGTATTCCGTTCATGACTATCCCAGCGTCTCTTTATCCAGTCCGCAATTGATTGTGTCCCCCTTTCTGTTAGCTGGGTTAGAGAAATTTGAGCACGCCCAGGCAGAGTCAGGAGTGCCAGAACCCGGAATCACGATTTCTCAGCAGGCAGGGGTGCTGGGCTGAAACCATCAAGGGGAATACGAGCTGGGCTGAATGTGAAGTCCCGCCTTTCTGTTCAGAATATCAGCTGTGTCCGTGCACAGGGGAAGGAGTCCTGGTCACTCAGGGTTCAACCCCAGACCCTGCCCAGCCGTCACACGGCCTCCCATGCTCTCGGGGAGGCCCGTCCGGGCAGTGGGAGGTGTCTCAAGACCTTCTCCTCACACCCCAGGCCTTGGGGAGCATCTGGTCTACCTCTTGCCCTCTGTGACTCCTAACTGGGACTTGCCTCAGGAGCTGAGCTTCTCCCCCATTTGCGGACAGACAGTATGTGCACTGAAGGATCCCTGGGGTTGGTGGGTGCCAACTGAGGGGAGCTGGAAATTTCTGCAGAAATCTGGAGGTTTCTGGATCCTAACACTGGAGGGCAATAATGGCAGCCACTTAGGGAGAGGGGTTTCTGAAAACCTCAGGATGTCCCTTCATGTCCCTGCTGTGCATGTCCCCAAGGTCCCATTTCTTGCCCCACTTGGAAAATAAGCTCTGTGTCCTGTTCCTGTGGGGACTTCTGAGGTGCCTCTGCCAAGGGTTCTCGCTGGGTCTGGAGTTGCCCGGACAGTAACCTGCTCCTGCCTGACAGGCTGAGGTGTTTTGGGGGCTGCTTATCCATGGTGACCGCTCCTTTCAGGCGGGCTGCCTCAGAGTTCCCAGATGAGATCTCTCAGATGTGTGATCAAATACGCAGCTGACTCATCGCCTCTGGCCAAGGAGGGTGAAGGGTTCACCCTGTGTGGGGCGGGAGAGGGCAGGCCTGGTGACGGCTGGTGTCTCTGGGCATTTTCACGGGTCACGGACGTGTAGCTGCCCTAAGTGTCGTGCCTGGTTGGAAACGCCTGACCCCACGCCCCAGGGCACAGATCCAGGAGCAGATATTGGACTCGGGGGCAGCGGGCCTTTAGAAATAGATGGTGCCCAGTGAGCACAGCACTTCAGGGGCTTGACAGGCCATGGGTGACCGTTTGCCACCTTTCCAGGGCCTTTGTTCCCCGTGTCAAAACAGCCGACTGCATCTTCCCAGCAGCTTTCTCAGGAGCCCCTCCTTTGCAGCATCTCACAATCCCACCTCCCTGTCCCTGTCCCTCAGTCCTGTGAGCCTGGCTCCTCGCCCGTGTCTGTGAGATTATGATCCTAGAATAACATTCTGATGGGTGTGAGGATGTCCAGGCAGCATTGAGACCTTAACCAGAGCCAGCAAACCCTGTGTTCATGTTCTCCAGCTGAGGCCGCTGGGCTCACAGCTGGTGGACCCGGCTCTTCCTGGTGTGGAGGAAGCAAGTTTCCCACAGAGAGCAGCTGGTACTCACCTGTGAGTATCATTTGAGGGGCCTCTGAGGACCCTGGTTTCCAGTTGGGTGGCACCAGCATGATAATGTGAGATGGCAGATGGCTGACCTTGCACACCATGTCCAGTGGATAGTGAGGTCACCTGGAGCTCTGTTCTGAAAGCATTCAGGGCCACATCTGTGCTCAGCAAGAAAGGATGTCTGTGTAGGTGATGGGAAGCAGTCGCAGTCCACACACTTCATGTCTGTTGTCCCAAGCACCATTTGAGCAGCTGGCCCAGTGTGGACAGCCCACGCCTTGTCCTCTCCCAATGCGTGCCCGTTAATGGTCATTTATCTTGATTTCAGGTGTTTTCATATGCAGCCACTCTGCTGTACGTGGTCCATGCGGTATTTTCTTTAATCAGATGGAAGTCTTCGTAAAGCAGCAGAAGAACTTCAGCTGAAAACCCAGACGGTGTTAACTGATCGGCCCGCCTTCCAGCACAACTTTCTAGCATGCAGAAATGCTCTCCATGGTGGAAAAAAGAAACCAAAAAAAAAAAAAAAAAAAGCAATGCTGTGTGTCTTGTGGGTGTTATGCTGACTCTCCCCTGTCCCTCCTGTCAGGGTTGGGACCTGCTGCGTTTAACCTCCAACTACTGAGGCGTCTTTCAGGGTCATCTCCTATTTGTGAAAGGGGGCGGTGGGGTGGAGTGTGGAGTCTGTGATCTGAGAGAGCAGGAAACAAAGATCCCTGCTGACCCCTGGACCGGATCTTGCGAACTCTCTGCTGGAATCTTCCACAGGCTCTTTTGAGCCCCCATCTCCATGGGGGAAGATGATAAAGCTTTGAAATACTTTATAAAGTGCCTTTGTGTTCAATACTTTTCTCAGGTGTTTTTGGTTTTGTTTTGACTCCCCAGTATCAGGACCATCTTTCCAGCTTTCTTTCTGAGGAATCCTGGGCTTAGACTGAATCTCTAGAGGTGGCATCAAGTGGCAGTTCAGGTGAGAGGTGTGTGTGCTCGGCCACTGCACTCAGAGAGCCCGGTACTTGGTCTCCCACCCTCCCCAGCTACCAGGAGCCTCAGATGGCTTCTCCTCTCTGGAAACTCGCCACTTACCAGTCTTAGGGTCTCTTCTTTTTCCTACAAGACAAAGAGGTCTGTGCTCAGTTAGAAGGTCCCCAAGCCACAAGAAAATAAGGTGTAGAAGTTTCCTCTCACTCTGTGAAGCTGATCAGAGATGTTCTGGGCAGTGGGCTGTGTGTTCTGTTCCAGTTAGTGATTTGGATAATAAACTGTGTTTAGAATTTCCTTGGGCCACTCCATAGAGGAGAAAGGGGACCAGACTGCAGAGTGACAGGAAGTGAGGTGACAAGTGCTGAGTGCCACGTTTCGGGGATGAGATGCCCGGGTTGAAAGGAGAGGAGATAATAGGAAGGGGGCGCTCAGTGAGGAATCCTGAGAGTCAGCTCCTGGCATGAAATGCTCCTTCATCCCTTCACTCGAAGAATCCGTGATGTCCCAGAACTGGGGCTCCAGACCAGGAGCCTCAGAAACTGGTCAGCCCCCAGCCGTGGAGGCAGATGGGCAGGGCTGGCTGACCTCTGGCTCGGGGCCATGAGGGCAAAGCTTCCAGCCTCAGGCAGAGGTTTAACTAGTTGACATTTTCCTTCCCTTCCACCTTGGGGACCCCATGACTAAACTGAGTCTCAGTGGCATCTCCAGGATGTCCTTTGTTATCCCAGGATAATTATTCCAGAAAAGGGCCACTTTTAGTGAGTCCACTTAAAACAGAATTTAAGTAAAAACTTCATTGTAAACTAGAAGCTAAACGTTTGATTGGGGCTTTATCCTCGAAAATGAAAGTACAAATTAAGAAATGATAGGAAGTTGGTCACGTGTTTCACAAAATTTGCAATCAAGTGTTGATCGAGGGAAGTCTCATTTTTTTGACCAAACTGCCTCATGGCATCGTGGTGTACCAGAACCGTGATGCTGACAGAGGTGCAATTTTTTTCATTTTCGCTTATTTTATTGACATCATACGAGCTTATGCCACTGTGTAAATTTCAGGGGTACACCATTATATTCCGACTTCTTTATAGACTGCATTGTGTTCACTACCAATAAAATAGTCTAGTTTTTATTTGTCCCCACACATATCTGCCCCTTTACCCCTTACAGGCACATTGTTGACTCTCATCCAAAAAAGGAAACCAAAGGCCAAGGACTGGTTGAATTTCCCAAGCATTTCTCAATGTTTTGAAATTTTTAACGTTCTTTCTAAAGAAAGTTTGATATGGTGTTTCTCCATTTTCTCTTTGAGTTGCAAATTGGTCTCAGGACAAAAGCTTTTTAGTCGAAGGCTTTGCAGATGATGCCCTGACATGGCTCTCTCCTTCCTCCCATCCTGAGTCACTGAAATTTTCAGTTTCATTTCAGGTTGATTTGCATCCTATTCTCCTTGGATGTTACTGGGATAGGCAGCCTCAAAAAATGTCCTCTTGGGGATGGCCCAGTGGTGGAGTGGTTAAGTTTGCACAGTCTGCTTCAGCACCCCGGGGTTCACAGGTTTGGATCCTGGGCGTGGACCAACACAGTGTTCATCAAGCCATGTTGTGGCAGTGTCCCACATATAAAATAGAGGAAGATTGGCACAGATGTTAGCTCAGAGACAATCTTCCTCACACACACACACACACACACACAAACACACACACAAACACACTCTCCTGGTCTTGCTTTTCCTTCCCCCAGACCACCCTTCTCCCCCAACCCGTCCTGGTCCAGATCCCTTGCTCATGCATCTCGTAGCCCAGATCTGTCTGCATCCAGCTCCTTGGGGAGTATTTGCAAGTTCAAGTACTGGCTGATGAGCAGGCCTCCGGCTGGGGCACTGCCCCCGGGAAGCCCAGGTGCCTGGGGAGGAAGGGGTTGGGGAAAGGGCATTTAAGGAGCCTGCTGGGCAATATCCTAAATGTATCAGACTTCAAAGAATGGGCTGAGAAGTGAACACCTACTGTGTGCTGGGACCATTGGTCCCTTGAGATTTGAGATGGTGTCTGGCCCCCAGTTTCTTGTGGCCGGCATGCCTCACCTCTCTGCCTCTGGGTCTTGGGCAGGAGGGAGCCTCTGGGGCATAGCTTTGTGGCACACCAAGGGCAAGTGGGACATTCCTTAGATGTTGCCTGCTTGGTGGCCCTGACTTGGGCCAAAGGTAAGGAAGCATCAATAACCAACCACAACAGCTCAAAAGACCCACGTCTGCACCTGCGTAACCACCTTGCCTGCCATTTTTGGAGCTCTTGCCTTGGCTCATGCACTGCATAAGACATATATCTAGAGCCTCCTGTCATCCTCCCTGTGGCCACAGGAGATGCCACTACTGTCCTTTTACAGGTGAGGAAGCAGACAGACTCAGCTGGGGAGAACTGGAGCTGGATTTAGTGCCTGTTCCCTTTGTCCCTGGGGCCCTGTGCTCACTTACTGTCTTAGGGACCCCAGACCTGTCCCCATGTGGGTCTGTCCTCCAGCCTCTCAGGAAGTGACAGTGGCAAGAGACCTTGCAGTAGACCTGATGCCAGTGGACAGAGGCCTTCAGGGGGAGATGAAGCCAGGCTGGGACAGCTCTAGACCACTGGCAGGGTCAGCAGCAGACCACGTGGCCAAATCCAGGTCCTTATTGAAAGGGGTTGGCTGGGGCTGGTCCCATAGCCGAGTGATTAAGTTCGCGGGCTCCGCTGCAGGCGGCCCAGTGTTTCGTCGGTTTGAATCCTAGGTGCGGACATGGTACCACTCATCAACCATCCTGGGGCGGCGTCCCACATGCCACAACTAGAAGGATCCACAACTAAGAATATACAACTATGTACCCGGGGGCTTTGGGGAGAAAAAGGGAAAAAACAAAATCTGTAAAGGGGCTGGCTGCTGTGAGCTGCAAAGTCACGACAATGCCAGTTCAGGCAGCTGCCGAGTTCCACTTTGCAGCTTCCACAAAGCCAAAGGCCCACCCAGACCAGCTGATGCTTTGTAAAGAAGATGAGTAACTGGGTGTTTTAAGCTCCTGGAACAAAGAGCTGAACGCCTGCATGGGCCTGAGAAAGGATCAGGAAGAAGCTGGTGTCTCTTTTGTGACCAAGAGCCAAAGCTTGCAGGACAGAACAAACCACAGTCCCCACAAATATGTGCTGAGGGTGTGCGTCAGGGGAGGGCCCACAGCGAGAGGCAGCTGTGGGTCTCGTCCACCCAGGACGTGTTGGAGGCTGTCGTCTGTGACTGCAGTGGCTGGGGCCCCCTTGTTCATGGGGCTCTGGGGCACCTCCTGGGGGCATTCTCCTGGTGGCCTTCCCAGGGCAGGGCAGGGTGGCCTGGGAGGGGCTTCATCCACATGCAGTCCTCCTCTGGGACCAGCCCGCTGGCCCCTGTTCTGCTCACAGTCGGTCCCACTGGACCTGCCCTTCTCCTGGAGAGGACGCAGTTTACAGGAGCTGAGCTTCATCGACATCCCAGAACCAAACTCTAAGAAGCATCTCTGATCAGAGCCCAGCAGCAGCCCGAATGGGGGTTTAAGGCTCCTGTGCTGACCTTACAGAGGAGCAGAGGATTCTCACGCCAGCCGGGGGCGGAGTGAGCAGGCCTGCAGGGCCCACACAAGGGCCTATTGTTCCGGGAATCACTCGGGACCAGTTCGGGGTCACAATGGGGCCTTTCAGGGGACAAAGCGCTTCTAGCCTCGAGTGTCCCTGCTCACGTGGGCATCGGCCCAGAGCATTTAAAATAACATGATTTGGAAAAACAGATTTACAGTGACTTCCCCACTCTCTGTGACTCAGAGGCCTGTGTTCCGTCCCCATCGTCCCCGGTCACGGCAGCCTCTAAGAGCAGGGGCGCTGCAGGCAGACCCGTGGCTCCCGGCTGGGACCACTTTCGTCTCTCACAGTAACGTGGGGACAGTCCCAGTGCAGGATCTACAGATGGCCCTGAGAGGTGAGGTCCACGCAGAGCGCTCAGCTTCCAGGACTTCCTTCAGCCCACACACTGTCCGTGAGAGCCCGCGAGGAGGCTGACACCCGGGGACGGGACCCCCCAACAGCACTGGGTGCCCGGGGCTGCTGGAGGTGCTGTACTTCTTCACTCAACCCCTGTGACAGCCATGCGGGGTGGGTAGCATTCAGATGAGGAATCAGAGGCACAGAGAGGTTCAATGATTTACCCTAGGTCACACAGCGAGTAAGGGTGATTTCCAAGGGTCTGGTTACAGAGCACCGAAGTTACCTGTCATGTGCCACCTCTCACTGTGACAGGGTCTCTGTGCCTCTGAGAGCAGGGGGCACAGACATGCCCCAGTCCTTCACACCCACAACACTCACAACACTGACACATGATACTGAAGCTTCCAAAGGGCACACAAAGAGTGTCAGGAAACCCAGCCAGGAGCTCACCCTCCTGGGAGGAGTGTCTGGGATGAGGGGCTCTGCCAGGCAGAGAAGGCAGGGAGGACGTTCCTAGGCAGAGCAGGGCAGTGACCCAGCCAGGCGGGTGGGGAGGGGAGGGCTCAGGAGGTTACGAGGCCCAGGTGCCCTGAAGGCGAGGCTGCGGCCTGGCGTGTACCCAGGGTCACCTGCGGGGACTGCCTGTGGGACAGTGGCAGCTGGCCAGGTGAGAGACACTGTGGGTGGGCTGCAGCAGTGGGACAGGCAGACAGGCTGGGCTGGGGGAGGGGACAGACTTGACCAGATGCTGGGGAACTGAGAGCCAGTGGAGGGGCCTCTGCGGACCCCTGAGCCGCCTGAGTGTGTGCCTCTCTCAGCTCAGCTCCCTTGCCTGCTGAGCGGGAATAGCCATCCTGCCTCTTGGGCTGTTGGAGGATTCAAGGACTC